CCCAGGGCTTAGTGGCCAAGTGCACTTCTTGTCCCTCATGTACACGTCCCTTGCTTGTCCCTCATGTACACGTCCCTTGTCTGGTGCGTGCCCTTGCTGGGAGAGGGGAATTGTGTGCACTCAGAGACCCTTCCCCACGTTGGCCTGGTGCTGTGGTGATTGGAAGGGTTGTCTCCCCACAGCTGTGAGCAGGCAGCCAGGCTGAGCAGTCCTTGATTAAAGTGTGTTTATAGTACTGGGGTTGTATAAAATAACGCAGTTGCTGTAACTTGAGCTTTGTGCAAGAGGGCCGAGAGCTCACGGCGGATTGGCGGGTCTCTGTGTGCTGGGGGGTTGGTTCGGATTGGCGGTTCTCTGTGTGCTGGAGCGTTGCTTTCCTTTCTGAAGGCCAGATGTTGTGTGAAGGAAATGTCATCCCACAAAGGCCCAGCTTGTCAGAGATCTGGAGAGGGAGGGCTGCTCACGTAGCTTCGTTTGTAACACAAACCAGGAGGCTCAGCTCTCCTTCATCGCTCCTGCTCCCTCCTCTGCTGGCATTTGTGTCTTGGACCTGATGTCAGTGTCTCATTTCCATGCCCCTGGCTCTTCTATTTTTAACCCCTCTTACATTTAGTTTAATAGGAGGTTTCAAATATGAGGCAACAAAACTTCTTGTTAATTTGCTTTCTAATCTGTGGCTTGCTTGTGGACCTGAAGGCAGATTTGCCCTGTGGTTGGGCTCTTTGCTTTTATCTCTGTTGCCAATTAACTCTTGATGTGTGATTTTTAGAGTGTAGGAGACATCCTGGTGTCCAAGTGCCCACTTTGCAAAGTAGGATTTGCAACTGCAGTCTTGCTGGTGTTGCAGTGGATGGGGCTATCACAGCCTGCAAGCACATCACATTTTGCCTGCCTGCCCTCAGGATGGGTGCCTCTGGGGCACTGAGCTAATGCTTTAGGCACTCCCAGGGTGCTGGCCCTTAATTCTCTGCTCCTGGCTTTGCCAGAGGCCCTGCTCAGAGGCTCATAGGAGACAGAGCTGGCCTGTAAAGGGGGGAAAAAATAAATATGAGCCTTGGTGCTGTGCTGAAAATGATGGAAGGGCTCCGGAGTTAGTGGTGGATTGATGTATGCTTCTGTCTCTTTTCCCTCCAAGTTGTGCTCTGTCCTGATTTTCTTTCTCATCTATTTTAGAGTCTGTCCCAGCAGAACGTCAAAGCAACCAATGTTTTGAGCTCAGTGGCTGCCAAGGCTAATGCCACAGCGCCTCTGGGGAAGGGGATAAAAGTGCCTGCTGTCCCTCCGGTTAGCAGAGTGTCTGAGAGCTCGAGTAGCGATTCCTCTGAGCAGGACATGCTGGCAGGAGAGGTAATGACAGTGGAGACTAAAGTGGGGAGCTTCCTGGGGGAGAGTGGGCAGATGGGGTGTGCTGGAGTCTCAGGCTGGTGCCATGGCCCCAGCTGAGGGGAGGAGGAGGGGGGCTGCTCTGTTTTAACCACTGTTATTGCAGCATAAGGTGAGGAAAGTGAGCAGAGGGTAACTCTGGTACCTTTGCTCTTCCTGCCTCCCAGCTGGCTGGCTGGTTTCTTCCTGCTTTTGTGATAGCAGTGCCCTGAACAGTCAGGAGCTGCCTGCTTGGCCAGTCTGTGGCATGGGGGAAGATGCAGGTCTCTGCACCCTGCACCAGAGGTTCTTGGGCTAACCTTGACATGAACTGGAGCAGTATGGCTGAAGAAGGGACAAGGTGGTCCAAACCCATCTGCTCTCAACTGCTTCTTATAGTTCATGGGCATGCACGGTTATTCCTCCTTCTAGATGCATTTCATCTTCCTCTCCCTAGGCCCACACTCCTCCATCCCTAAAGCAAACGGTTCCTCTGGGAAAAGCTCCTCCAGCTGACGCTGCCACCCCGCAGGCTGCTTCACTCCTGGGAAGTCTCACAGCCAAGTCGAGGAAGCCAGGCCTGCAGCCATCACAGGACACTCGGCTGAGCCAGGCTGTGCTGCCCACACAGCCAGAGGAGACCTCGGACAGTAGCAGTTCCTCAGACAGTGACGAGGAGGAGACGCCGCCCAAGCAGCCCCCCAAACCTGGTCAGTTCTCTTGGGTCAGTGCTGCTGGCCAGGCCAGAGTGGGAACAGTGTTTGGTTATCCTGTGGGAGGTGTGTCACCTTCATGAAGTGGGTCACCTTCACAGAGTGGTTGGAAAGGGGTTCCTCCTCTCCAGCTTAGCAGGACACTTGGACTAGATGATCTTTGGAGGTCCCTTCCAGTCCCTGACATTCTGTGATTCTGTGGCACTCCCCTTTCTTTGGAGGCAGAAGGCCTTTTGGTGGCAGTAACTGTGCTGGGTAGGTGAGCTCAGCCCCAGGCAGCAGTGGTGGGTTTAATGGGATGAACTCTGCTCCTCCAGCAGGTTTGCTGCAGAAACCAGGAGTGACCCAGCCAGCCCACAGCTCCTCCTCAGAGTCCAGTGAAGAGGAGGAGGCCACAGCATCACAGGTATGGTACCAGAACACACTGGGATCCCCTCAGGTCTTGCAGCTGGCTCCTAAGTAGGACAGAAAGAGCTTTGAATTCTCAACCATAGCAAATAGGGTGCTGAGGAGGTTTGTCAGCACAGAAGTGGGGGTTCCCCAGTACAGTGCTGGGAGCAGGGCCTTTTTGGTGGGAGCAGAGCCAGCCTTTTGAGCCTGGCATGTTTCCTCAGGCAGCTGGGCCTTGGGCCCAGGGCTCATGGTGCCTTCCAAAGGGGAAGGGATGAGAGATGGTGCCTTGCAAGGGTTAAACCTGGAGAACTGATGCACTGTGCCAATAGCAGCAGGACTTTTTTTCCCCACTTTTATTTGTAACTTAACCTGTGTCCAAGCCATTAAATTCCCTTTGTAAGTAACGTGCAGGGCGTGCAGCACATCTGCAGTGCATTAGCTGTGCATGCTAATGGCCAGGAGCCTCCCCCAGGCCTGCTTTTACTGGGCAAGAACAAAGAGGAGACCCTCTTGCCATCAGCTCTTGCTGCTGTAAGTGTCTGTCGGTGCTGGCCCCCTCTCCTGGCAGCCCTGGCCTCTGCAGGGCTGGCCAAGAGGTGCAGGATCACTCTGTGAGTGGCCAAAGGTGGGCCCTGCACTTGGAGTATGGGGACAAGAGTGGCTGAGACAGATCTGTGTGTGTGGGAGGCTGCCCTGCTGTGACTCCTCAGTGTGTCTGTGCTGTTTCAGTCCCTCCTTACAGGCCATCTGGGCATCTCCAAGACCCCAGCAGCACCTGAGGCACCAAAGACGGTTCCCCCTCAGCCTGTAGGCAAAGTGGGGCAAGGGAAAGCAGCCGTGACTGCTGCAAACTCCCTCGCCAAGGCCCCTGTGAAAGCAGCCCCAGCTGACAGCTCCAGCAGTGACAGCAGTGACTCTGACACAGACATCGACCAGGTGGCTGCAAACCACAAAGCAGGTGGGTCTCCTTTGGCAGGGTTGGGGATCTGCTTGGCCCAGGAGCAAAGCTGTGCTGGCAGCAGGAGGGTGACACTGGGATGGGGCCCTGTTCCCAGTGTGTTTCCACCACAGAGCCTGGTAGCGTGGAGTGCTGCTGCCGTCTGCTGGCGTCCCCTGCCCACGACACAGCCCTCTCCTCCTTGAACACTCCTCCTGTGCTGGTGGGCTCCCGAGGCTCTGTGCTCTGTGCCTTTGCCTCTTCCAAGTTCTGCTTTAACTGCAATAATTAATGCAGTTAATGAGAGCAGGTAGGGTGCTCCCTGAAACTGAGGCACACTGCATTGGTGTGCTGCGGTAGTGGTGGTTCTTAGGGAACATTTAAACACTGTCTGAAGAACATCTGCTGTACAGTGCTGGTATTCAAGCCTCCCCTTGGTCTTTCTGGGCTCTGTAGCATGTCTGGAGGGCAGAGCAGGGGAAGCATGTGGAAGGACCTATGGAGAAATGAAATGTCCTCCCATTTCCCTCTTGCCCAGGTTTGTTGGCAAATTGTAAAATTCAGAGCTGGAAGCTGCTTCTGTTCTGGTGTGACCGTGACACCTTCAGATGAGCTCTGGTCTGGCTGTGAGTCTGGGGGCTCAGATGGGTCTGTTGGCCTCCTGGGCATATCACTAAGGGCTGTTCAGAAGGTCAGAACTGTATATAGGTTCAAGAAGGCCCAGGTGCTGGGGGAGAGGCCATTGGTGATGGTTAAATGTGGTGGTGTGGATACCCCCTCCACCTTGGGAAGTCCCTGGCTGGCTGGGCATGGTGTCCTGGGGAAGGACCTGCTCTATCTATGCTCACCCATTTTGTGCTGCAGTTTCCTCCATTCTAGTCTCTGTTCTCCAGGGACATGGCCAAAGCTGTTGTGGCTGTTGTCACCCACTTCCCTCACCAGATCCTTGGTCTAAGGCTGAGGCATCTTTCTCTGACTCTCCTGTAGTCAGGATGGCCAGCAGGTTTTGTTTTTAGGAGGAGAACTGGATGCTCTTCAAATGCAGAGTTCCATCCTCCAGTAACTCTGTGGTCTGTGTAGTGAATGCTCACTGAGTTGTCTTCTCTCTTGTCACTCTTTCTACAGAAAATACCCCCCCTCCAGGGCAGGAAGTCACAGGAGCCTCCAACAAAGAGAAGGTGGCAGGAAAATCGGAGCCAGATCATGCCAGCCTCAAACCTTCCCCAGTGAAGAAAGCTCTGGCTGTGAAGGAGAATGATGTTGGGACAAAAGGGGTGCAAGTGACCCCAGTGTCATGTGCACCATCCTCCATCCCACAGTCAGAGGACTTGAGCTCGGAGAGTGAAGCCGAGGTCACCGCTGCTGCCAAAGTTCCTGCAGTGAAAACACTGGATGGGTTGGAAGAGAAGAAGAAGAAGAAGAAAAAGGAGAAAAAAGAGAAGAAGGAAAAGAAGAAATCTTCCTCCGTGGCAGACAAGGCTGTGAAAACATCTAAGAGCAAAGACAAAGAGAATAAGAAGCAGAAAACATCTCAGAAGCGGAAACTGCCAGGAGAGGATGGAGCTGTTGGGCAGCCCAAGGAGAAGAAGCGGAAAGGGCAAACTAATGAAGAAGTACCCAAAAAGAAAAAGAAGAAAGCACTTGGTGACCTGGAGAAGTTGCCAGGCAGCAAGGAAAAGAAAAAAACAGCTAAAAGTAAGCATCCCTCTCTTGGGGCTGCATTTGCAATAGGTTCTTGCAGCTGATGCACGTTCAGCCTCTGGTGCAGGGCCTTGTAAGTAGCACCCACTTTCCCATTGCCTTCCTGCTTGGCTGCTTCCCCCTTGGCCCACCCAAAGCCAATGCCAGATTTTTCAGACCTCACTTCAGTGTTTTTCTTCAGTCTCAGCACCAAGTTGTGTTGCAGACAGTAGGCTGGGCTCTCCTGCTTCTCTGTCCTGCGTCTGGCATGGTGGGAACCGTGTTGATAATACTCGTGCTGATCCTTGCTGCTTGCAGAGCAACTGATGGCCCTGTGCATCTTCTATGGCATGACCTGTCCCTCCAGAGCTTTCTCCTTTCCTGGCCTTTATCCTGGCTGGAAGCAGCTGTCTGGGTGAGGGCTGGCAGAGGGTTGAGGTGAGTCTTTGAACCTCCTGAGGCCTCTGCCAGCCTCACACGGCCTGTCTGCCTGTGCTGGGCTTGGGAGAGTTCTTGTTGGTTATAAGCCACGAGGCCTGTGTTCTGCCCGCTCTGCTCTGCCCTGCTCTGTGTCTGCAGTGCAGAACAGCTCTGCCAGCCCCGCTGGCTGCCCTGGCTCCTCTGTGGTGAACACAACACGGGCTAGCAGAGAGCTAAGGGGAAATGTGGCTGGGGATGGCAGGCAGAAGGTCCCTGACGTGCTGTGAGCACGGTGGAGGAAGCCCAGCATTCACACACGCAGGGCTTTGTGTTAGAGCTTCCTGAACACGGCCCCATGCTGCCAACTGCTTTCAAAGAGATCAGCCTTGCAGTCTGCGCTGTCATCTGCTGTGTCAGCCACTGCTGATCCCCGAGGGGTGACAGTGCCCCTTCCTGACCCTGCCTGATCAGGGTCTGTGCTGCGACATGGTGAGCAGCTCATTCAGGAGATTTGGCTCAGGGCTATTACTGCTGCTTTCAAACCCCTGCAGAAAGAGGATGGTACCAGCCCCCTGCTCCATGCTCCCAGTTAAGAGTGTTTCCTGCCCCTCTTGTCCACACACCTCTCCAGTGCTCTGTTTCCTGCTCTAATGCAAAGGCAATTCTTTTTCTTTTTCTTTTTGTTTTTTCTTTGCAGTGCAGACTGCATTTGCAAAACAGAGCTGGTTCTGTGCTGGATCTTGTAGATTTTTTTATTTTTTTTTTATTTTATTTTATTTATTTTTTAATAAAGGAGATGGAATGGGTGGGCCTGGTCTGCCAGGGTTTCTGTTCCACAGAGATGCAGCCCTTCATTTTGGAGGAGACAGATTTGTCTGTCAGCCCTTGTGTGGGCTGTTGCACAGGGGTGAGCTGCAGCATCTTGGAGCACTTGTGCTGAGCTGAACCTCCTGTCCATCCTCTGTTAGTAGCTCCCTTTGCTCTGATTTCTGGCGTATGCCCAGCTGCTCCAGCACTAAAGTGATTCCTCAGAGTGAGGGGGCAGCAGGAGGTGGAAAGAAGAGGATTCTATGTAATTCTGCCCACATGTGTGAATGGGTGGCTCAAAGCTAGTGGAGAAACAGCCCTGGGTGCAGCTGCCTTGTAGCAGAGCTCTGCCCTGGCCCAGTTACTGCTCTCAAAAGCTTGTTCAGGTTCAGATGTGATTGAAAACTTACTGGAGATGCTCCTCACTCTGTGCTTCATCTCCGAGTCTAGCAATACCAGAGTCCCTCTCTTAGCTGATTTTTCTTTCCCTCTCCCAGAAAAAAAGTCTGGAAAAGAAAAGAAGAAGAGCAAAAAGGTGTCTTCAGAAGGGGGCCCTACAGTAGATGGCTCTGTTGAGCCTCACAAGAAGAAGAAGAAGGTATGTGCAGGACCCTGGGATGGGGTTCCATGGGGAGAGCTGTTCTGAACGGCGGTTGTGATGTTCATCCCTGCAGTATGCCAGGGTGGAGAGGAGCAGAGTCATGTCCTGGCCTTGCTGGCATTATGGAGGAGGTTGTGGTTAATCGTGGCTAGTCTTGAGACACCCTGACCTTTGGTTGGTTGGGAGTGGGGTGGCTTGAAGAAGGGCTTGTTCCTGTGTCACTCCCCCAGGAGAGATCCCTTCCCTGGAAGGGTCAAACCCAGGGGCCTTTTTGGTGACAGAGAACCTCCCAAGTAAGTGCTCTTCAGCTGTCTGTTCATCTAGTTGTTTTCAGCAGAAACTGGAGCTCCTGAGGGGCTGACAGGCTACTGCATCCTATCCCAAGGGCTAGGAAGGGGGGCAGAGGGAGACTATACGATGTTCCTTGTAATGGATACGTCCCTGTAGAGATGGTAGCCAAAAAGCCTCTGTGGCTTGTGGCTTTGCTGGGTCCTTTTATGTTTGTGGTGCAGATGATACTGATTTATTTTCCACCCTTTTCTTTTTAGAAGAAGAAAACAGCTGAGCCTGAAGGATTGTGAGAAGGTACATGGCCTGTGGGGACTCTCAGAGTTGGTACCTCTGAACGGCGGTAACCTTGGCCAAATGTCTTGGGAAGACAGTGTGCTCTCTGAGTGCTCACTGAGGCAGCTTGGCCGTAGGTTAGAGGGCCAGGGAGCGGAGCGGTGTGCTGGCTTCTCTGGATGTGTTTGACCTCAACTCTTTAGCTACTGAGAACTGGATGTCCAGCCTGGACGTTGCTGTCCTCTTGTCATCATCAGAGATAAGTGGCCTTTGGCAGTGTCTTGTCTGTCCCTGCTGACCACAGGGAGCTTGGAAAAGTAATGTGGATTAGATGGTGATGTTGTAGCCACCTGGAAGTGGACCAGATGACTCTGCCTCTGCTCAGCTCTAAGGCTCTTCTCCCCATCCCTAACTTTTAACTCCTCTCCCCAAAGGTACCGCATCCCTGTGATTAAGAATTTATGGGTGAAGATCAAACAGAAGAGAGGAAAAGGAAGCTCATCAGGAGAATTCCAACTTTTTTCTTTTTAAAAAAAAAAAAAAAAAAATAATAATTTATAACTTCTTTTAACTTTGACTTTTAGAGCAGAGCAGTGTAACTTTCTGCCTCCTCCTGCCCTGATAGAGCCCAGAGATGTGTGTATTGTCCCTCCCGCCGGCTCGCCTGTTGCACAAGAACTGAAGGAGGCACTTTGACCAGAGAAGAGCCAGCTTGCATAAACTGCTTTCCTCCTAGTTGACACCCAGCCATCTCTTTCTCATCACAGAGCTATATTTTTAAGAGAAACTTTTATCTTGTTTTTTTTTTTCCCTCCCCCTTTCTGTGGTTTGTGATGTCAGTCCTTTTTGCTACTATGGAAGAGAGCTCTTGGGTTTACTTTTTATCCTAACACTGACAGCAGTGATTATTGTCTCCCTGGAGTTGCACTGAGCAGCTGTGTCCAGCAGCTGTTCTCAGCCAAGGCAGTGGAATTTTTTTTGTGGGTTTGTTTTTTTTTTATGGAATACAAAATAATAATAAAAATTGAACGGTGAGATTTTGCTTGAGCTGCTTTCAGGGGAGGAAGGGAGGTGACCGAGGCCTGGCCAGGGAGGCAGGGCAGGCACTGGAGAACATTGCAGGTAGGAGAGAAGAGCCCACCTTCTTCCCAGGTTCACAGCCACCCCTGGGGGAAAATGAATTGCTTTCTGCCTGCTCCCTGAGGAACAGCAGATACTGTTGCTCCTCAGCTTTGAACTGCACGTTCTAGTGTTGGTTTGTATTTTTTTTCATTACTAAAATGCTGTGTAGGGCAGGTGCTGAGAGCAGGTTTGTACATCACCTGCTGCCTCACCAGCAGGTGCTGCCCTGGGCCTTGTACTGGGCTTGTGCCTGGTTTCCTCACTTCACTGAGGTTTAGCAGATGAGGAAAAAGAGAGCAGAGCCCCTTGTGCTCCTCCATCCCATGCTGTGCAGCTGCTCTGCAGCCTGGCTACAGGTGAGGACATGGCCCTCCAGGTGAGAACACGGCTCTCCAGGTGCCACCCTCACACCAGCACAACTCAGATGCAGGAGGGAGATGGCTCCAGCGCAGGGGCTGCTCTCCTCCTCTTTCCCCCATGCTGTGACTCACTGAAAGGTGATTTCAGCCTCCTGGGCCTTGCTGGGGTGTAGGGGAGATTGGACAAGTGATGAGCCATGAATGTGGCAGAGAATATCCTGGGTGGGGGAGGAGATCTCCCAGGATTTTTCTTTTTCCCCTTTTTTCATAGGATTCCTTTACTTTTAACCTAGGACAGCTGCAAACTGCCCTCACTGCCCTGCTCGAGTTGCTAACGAGGCTTTCTTATTCAAAAGTTTATTTGAAATAATTAGCTTGTGAGGTCAATTATAAAGGAACTATCAGATATATTCAGAAAGATCAGAAGCCCCTGTGACTCCAGGGTCAGTTCCTGTGCCTGCTGCTACCCACTGCGGCGGCAGAAGCTGCAGGACAGCACCTTATCTCTATAAAACTCAGCACTCCACAAGAAGAACCCTCTACTCCAGTGCTCTTACAGGACTTCAGCCTACGGGGGTCAGTTATGAAGCTGGTGGAGGTTGTTTTGCTGCTTTTAATGTTTGTTTGGTGGAAGAAGGTGTTAGTGGCTCGTTCTTCAGCAGGGGTGAGCTCTGCGCAGGATGCCCATGAGCAAAAGGGAACAGGATTGATGGGTCTGACATGGTTGAAAGCCCTTTCCAAGCTGCTTTACCCACCCTCTGAGGGAACACTTGGACTCTAGCACTGATCCTGGTGGCAGCTCAGCCCCAGCTGGTGTCC